CTACGACAGAAAACTGCCCTACAACAATCAGTACTGGTCAGAACAAACTCATTATGTCCACGAATAATGGACTTGCCGAAAAAGTCTCCCATTCAAACTATCACTAATAGAGTAACCTCATTCATCTTTGCCAACATACAAGGACTGAAAACAAGAACAAACAACAAAGTACAGTTCATAAATGGCCTCCTCACGGAGTCAAATGCAGTATTTGGAGCTTTCACAGAAACCCATGCAGGGGAATTGTTGGCCAGTGAGATCTGGATTCCAGGATAACCTATACAGGTGTGATAGGAAAATTAGGTCACATGGAGGAGTGGGTCTGTATATTAGGAAGACCTTGTATGCTCGGAGCTCCTAAACGTTACAAATGAGGTGGTAGAGGTACTGGGATTAAAAATAGAGAAAATAAATTTTGTGATTATACTAATATACAAACCGCCAGATGCAACGGCTGAAGAATTCACAGAACAGATAAGCAAAATAGAGAATAGCCTTGATAATTTGGAGAACCCGATACCTGATATTATCTTCCTAGGTGACTTCAACTTGCCTAGTCTCAGGTGGAAAATAGCAAACAATAATATTATACCAGGAAATCTATCAGGACCTAACCAACCACAGATTAGAGAACTACTTAGATTCTGTGACAAATTTTCACTCAATCAGCAGATATCGGAGCCAACGAGAAATGAAAATATTCTAGATCTGGTCTTTACGAACAACGAAGACATTATCAGAGACATTACGATATCAGATACCACATATTCAGATCACAAGCTCATTGAAGTGCAAACGACCATCAATACTCAGAATAGACCTAAAACGTTGATAAAGCGAGAGGGGCTATTCAGTAAATTCAATTTTAATAATAAAAGGATAGACTGGGAGATAATAAACAGGGAACTTACAAACATTGCATGGGGAACTGTTCTAAGTAATGCAAGTCCTACAGAAGGAATAGAAAAACTGACTTCAGAAGCGTATCAAGTCTGTCTGAAACATGTTCCTTTGAGGAAAGCCAGAAAGAGATCTAACGTAGAAAGAGAACGCAGACGACACTATAAACGCAGGAAAAAAATAACGGAACTGCTTATGCAGACACAAATTTCCCGTCAAAGAAGGAATAATTTAAATAGGGAGATTGAAGAAATCGAGCAGAAATTGAAACACTCATATGAAACTGAAGAAAGGCAGTTAGAACAGAAAGCCATTCAGGAAATAAGGAAAAATCCAAAATATTTCTTCTCATATGCGAAATCAAAAGCAAACACCACTGCCAGTATTGGACCTATTCGTACAAGTGAAGGTTCATACACGGAGGATGACAAAGAAATTAGTGAAATCCTAAAAAAACAGTATGAGGATATGTTTAGCACTCCAATAACAAAACAACATGAAGGTGGAAGATCCAGACAATTTCTTTATGCGGGATATTCAAACCTCTGTAAATATAACTGATATAAACACGAGCGCACTAAATTTTGAAAAAGAAATTGAAAACATGCCCATGCACTCGGCCCCAGGTCCAGACTCATGGAATTCAATATTTATAAAGAAATGCAAAGTGCCGGTAGCACAGGCACTCAGTATAGTGTGGAGGAAGAGCTTGGACACGGGGGAGATACCAGATGCACTTAAAGTAGCAGACATAGCCCCTCTACACAAGGGAGGGAGCAAAGCATTGGCAAAAAATTATAGACCAGTTGCACTAACATCGCACTTCATAAAAGTATTTGAGAGAGTGATTAGGAGTCAGGTCACCAATTTCATGGAGACCAATGACCTTCACAACCCAGGCCAACATGGATTTCGAGCGGGAAGATCGTGCCTCTCACAGCTACTTGAGCACTACGACAAAGTCACCGAGGCATTAGAAGAGAAACAGAATGCTGATGTGATATACACGGACTTCGCAAAGGTTTTCGATAAATGTGACCATGGCGTGATACAGTAGCACACAAAATGAAGTCAATGGGAATAACCGGTAAAGTAGGACGCTGGATACTCAGTTTTCTGTCAAACAGGACTCAGCGAGTAACTGTCAACCATATAAAATCTAGTCCAAGTGCAGTGAAAAGCTCTGTACCTCAGGGTACAGTCCTTGCACCGCTGCTTTTCCTTATTCTCATATCAGATATAGACAAAAATACAAGTCACAGCTTCGTATCATCCTTTGCAGATGACACAAAAATCAGTATGAAAATTACCTCGGCTGAGGACATTGAAAAACTTCAAGCTGATATTAATAAAGTTTTCGACTGGGCATCAGAAAATAACATGATGTTTAACAGTGATAAATTCCAGGTACTCAGGTACGGTAAAAATGAGGACCTTAAACATAATACAGAGTACAAAACACAATCAAATGTACCCATAGTAGGAAAACAGCATGTAAAGGATTTGGGAATAATAATGTCTGACGACCTAACGTTTAAGGAGCATAACCAAGCAAATATTGCGACAGCCAGAAAAATGATAGGATGGATTACGAGAACTTTCAAATCCAGGGATCCCATCACAATGGTTGTACTCTTCAAGTCACTTGTGTTGTCCCGTCTTGAGTACTGTTCAGTACTCACTTCCCCCTTCAGAGCAGGAGAGATTGCTGAAATAGAGGGAATACAGAGAACATATACGGCACACATAGATGCAATAAAGCACCTAAATTATTGGGATCGTCTCAAAGCCCTCCAAATGTACTCACTAGAAAGAAGACGAGAGAGATATCAAATAATATACACCTGGAAGATACTGGAGGGCCAAGTACCAAATCTACACAGTAAAATAACAACGTACTGGAGTAAACGATATGGAAGAAAATGTAGAATAGAACCAGTGAAGAGCAGAGGTGCCATAGGCACAATCAGAGAACACTGTATAAACATCAGGGGTCCGCGGTTGTTCAACGTCCTCCCAGCAAGCATAAGAAATATTGCCGGAACAACCGTGGACATTTTCAAGAGAAAATTAGATTTATTCCTCCAAGGAGTGCCGGACCAACCGGGCTGTGGTGGGTATGTGGGCCTGCGGGCCGCTCCAAGCAACAGCCTGGTGGACCAAACTCTCACAAGTCAAGCCTGGCCCCGGGCCAGGCTTGGGGAGTAGAAGAACTCCCAGAACCCCATCAACCAGGTATCAACCAGGCAGGCTGGCTGGGAAGGAGGCAGGCAGGCAGGCTGGGAAGGAGGCAGGCAGGCTGGATGGGAAATGAGGCAGGCAGGCAGGCTGGGAAGGAGGCAGGCAGGCAGGAAGCGATATATGGGTGTTGAAGTGAACCATGAACCACGTGACCTTTGAGAGTGTGTGTGTGTATGGGTTTGGGGTGGGGGGTGGGGGAGGTGTGTCGGTGGTGGGGGAGGGACCGGCTGACTCCGTAAGCCTAACCACACTCCACAGACCTGTGACCCAGATTTGTTTCTTAATGTACAGTACATCATCGTATATTTTAGGCAGGATGTGCCTGCAGGCTGGCAGGATGTGCCTGCAGGCTGGCAGGATGTGCCTGCAGGCTGGCAGGCAGGCTGGCAGGATGTGCCTACAGGCTGGCAGGATGTGCCTGCAGGCTGGCAGGATGTGCCTGCAGGCTGGCAGGATGTGCCTGCAGGCTGGCAGGATGTGCCTGCAGGCTGGCAGGATGTGCCTGCAGGATGTGCCTGCAGGCTGGCAGGATGTGCCTGCAGGCTGGCAGGATGTGCCTGCAGGCTGGTAGGATGTGCCTGCAGGCAGGCTGGCAGGATGTGCCTGCAGGCTGGCAGGATGTGCCTGCAGGCTGGCAGGATGTGCCTGCAGGCTGGCAGGATGTGCCTGCAGGCTGGCAGGATGTACCTGCAGGCTGGCAGGATGTGCCTGCAGGCTGGCAGGCAAGCTGGCAGGCAGGCTGGCGGGATGTTTCTGCAAGCTGGCAGGAAACATCCAGAGGATGTTTGCCAGACGTCTTAATAATCAGTTAGGAACAATTAAGGACTTTTATAAAGCGGATCAGGACTTCACTTATTGGTGAGTACAAACAAAATACGGTCGCATTTATGCTATGAACCTGTCGATTTTTTCCCCTAGAGTTTTTTCATAAATTTTTCGGCAAAATTTCTTTTTACATTTCTAGTTTATTTTTTCCCCTCTATTTCTCATATACGAACTTACATGTTAACCGACGGGTCTCGTCCCCAAGGGGTTCGGAAACCAAGTGGTGCTCTGTACCACTGTACCAGTCATTACACTGAGCAGGACAGAAAATGCTGGGCATGATTCCTATCACCTAATGTCACTGTTCACCTAGCGGTAAATAGGTACCCAGGAGTTAGTCAGCTTGTTGTGGGGTTATATCTTGGTGAAGGTCAGCAATTCAACCCTAGGGGGGGGGGGTGAACCTTGATATAAGCCTAACATGTATACACACACTGGCTGCCTGTACCCCAACATCATAATAATCATTCAAAATAATAATAATATAATTCATTGTGTCGGGGGACAGGCAGCCAGAGTGTATTCATACACGTTAGGCTTATACCTGGAAAGGATTTCAGAAGTTCTTCTACTAACTGAGCCTGGACTTGATATCAAGGTCCTCCACCCCCCCCACCCCCCACCCCACCTCAAGATTGAATTACTGACCCCGCCCAGGACGCAACCCCACAACAAGCTGACTAACTCCTGAGTACCTACTTAATGCTAGGTGAACAGAGGCATTAGGTGAAAGGAAATGTGCCTAACCATTTCTGTCCTGCTGCGGATTTGAACCTGGAATTCTGCATGGAGAATGATGCCAACTGTACTATCGGTAGCCTTAAATAGTGAATTATATATAACTTACCGTCTCTCTACATTACAGTCCACCAGTTATTGTGTCTCACATCACTTGGCACATCTGTATGTAGCAAAATACTGAGCACTACCACTATAATGTCTACCAAAAATGTATATCAAAATGTTACAAGTACAAGTATAAAATTAGTAATAACAGTATGGTAAAAAAAGACCAGTTCAGATATAATACTCACTGTTTCAATAATCTTGCAGAGTCCAGATACTGTCCTAATATTACCAGAATTGAATGTCAGTGGCATCTTAATCCTGAAATTATATATCAAATTCAAAAATTCTAATTTCAAAATTTTATGTATGTACAAAGAGCATAAGAGGAATGTACAAATGTGGGGACACAAGTTACACAAGCTAATGTGGCCACTATTAAAAAAAAGTGTTTTGGGCAAAATATAAAATAATTAGGAAAAAAGCGAGCGTTGAATGTAATGAAACGCCAGTTTTTTTGTGAGCCCCTTGGTGATACCTGAAGCTATCCCACTGATATAGTGCTATATTAGTTAGGGTCATCAGTTGCAGAGTTCTTGTTGTTTACCGGGGACCAGAGCTAGAAACTGGCCACCCCCTTAGAGAAGAGCAGGGAGCAAGCACATTACATTTAAAATACCGCATGTCATATTTTGCCAACTACCAGGGAAGGCACCCAGAAAAGTAGGCAAATCAATACAGACTACTATCTGGTTGAAAATTGCGAGCTACGACCTCAAAATAGCAAAAGAACTTCCCCAGAAAGAAAGCCAACAAGCAACACATCATTCATATAGCCCCTACTCATTAGCCCCTCCTCATTATTAGGGAAGGGGAAGCTGGCCCGGGAATGATAAAAGCCGCTGACCTAAGGGAGGGAGGGTGTCAGGGAGCCTCCGGGGCTCACCCAGAAACTGATGTTTCATTACATTCAATGCTGATTTTCTGTGGGGAGCCCTGTTGGCTCCCTGAAGCTAACTACTTACAAAGAAGGCAAACAGGGACTTGCTAGGAATGCAGCAGCACTGCAGGTCTAAAAGTAAGGAAGAGAGACAGCCACGACAGGTGCCTCAAGACCGCAGAGGACCTGGGACGTTCACAAGATTCCTGGGGGTCAGAACCTTGTTCGACCTCAAAAACCCATGCCCAAATATCGTCCCAGGACATATTACCAAAGATGACCTTGAGGTGCTTGAGGTGCTTCCGGGGCTTAGTGTCCCCGCGGCCCGGTCGTCGACCAGGCCTCCTGGTTGCTGGACTGATCAACCAGGCTGTTAGACGCGGCTGCTCGCAGCCTGACGTATGAGTCACAGCCTGGTTGATCAGGTATCCTTTGGAGGTGCTTATCCAGTTCTCTCTTGAACACTGTGAGGGGTTTGCCAGTTATGCCCCTTATGTGTAGTGGAAGCGTGTTGAACAGTCTCGGGCCTCTGATGTTGATAGAGTTCTCTCTCAGAGTACCTGTTTGGATGGATGAAAGAGCGACATACTTCCCAACATCATGGGCACGAGGGTAGATCACAAGCTCATTCTTTCACCGGAGGTGAAAGAATGCACGAAAAAGTTTACGAAATGGAGAAGAAGTAACATCCACCCCGAACACAAGCTGCATAGTCTCCGCCAACACCGCATGATAAGAAGCGACAGTATTCGGCAGGAGATGCCAATCTAAAAAAGAAAAAAAAATTATAAAACTTGCACAGTCAATCGACACGTGAGATGAGAGATAAGACATAGACACTACCTCCCAGAGGAAGCCCTCTAAAGGGAGTGATTCCCAAATGCCCCGGGAAAGTTAATCCTGACCACTCATGGAGCACCTAGGGAAGGTGATAATATATGCATGCAGCTCTGGTACCCTGTAGAACCTCAGGCCAGCACACCCAACAAGTGTGGGAACACCCGTCAAGTAAAAAAAGCACATCAGTCAAAAACTGAATTAGTGGGCGTACAGGCATACCTCAGAATAAGAGTTTAATCCGTTCCTGGAGACGCCTCGCCTTCCGAAAACTCGCATTCCGAAGTTAATTTCCCCATAAGAAATAAAGGGAAATGAATTAATCCGTTCCTGACTACCCCAAAAACCCCACATCAAACTAAATTTTTATACCTAATTTACCTAATTCATCTAAATAAACCTACAAAACTGTGTTCCAGTTATTACTTACCTTGCTGTCGAGTGCTGTAGGCGTATGGAAGATGGTGAGGAGGGGGGAGGAGGAGAGGAGTTACTGTTTGGAAGGGGAGTCCCCTTCCATAATCACATCACATAACCCCATGCCTTGTAACACTATGGATACCACTTCTCTTTCTAAATTTTTCAAACCAGCCCCTGCTTGCCTTAAACTCTTTCTTATCTGCATCACTCGTTGCAGGGGTATTCTTTAGAAGGTCTTCGTGCAACACCCTGGCTTTCTCACAAATAATGGCCTCCGAAACACTATCACCCCTCAACTCCTTGTCGTGTATCCAAATTAATAACAACTTTTCCACTTCTTCAAGTATTTGTGGTCTTTGTGCCGTTAATGTTCTTACTCCTTTTGCCACTTTAGCACCCATAATCTTATTTTTCTTCTTAAGTATAGTGCATATTGTTGATGTGGCTTTGTTGTACTGCCTACAAAGTTCAACAACACGTGTACCGTTCTCATGCTTCCGAATGATCTCTTGTTTCTCCTCTATTGTCATCCTCACATGAGCTTTCTGGCCTTTATCCTTACCACTGGCTTTCTTGGGACCCATGGTGAGATATATAATAACAAATTGTATAGACAAATCACCAAAAATCCAACAAAACACTGAAAATCCGCGAGAAGAATTGATGTGGGGGTAGTCACTGAGCGCGAGACAATAATAAACTGAGGGGCGGCGGGGCGGAGGGGCGACGATCGCCGAACCACCACGCGCTAGGTCGGCTGTACGCGTATCAACAAACTCGCGTCCAAACTCGCCTCCCGAAGTAACCATCGCCTTCCGAGACAAATTTTTGGAGTAAATACACCTCGCCTTCCGAAAACCTCGCATACAGGGACAATCGCATTCCGAGGTACCACTGTACATACGTCTGGCAAAGCCAAAGAAAGTAAGTGGCCTTGACCATCCACTCTGTGGAAATAGGAATGAAGCGAGACAGGCCGACTGCCAGGACGTTTGACATTCCCCAAATGTGAATAGCACAGAGAGCTAAACCCTGAGAACTCTGCATAAGAACTACACGAAGCAACCAGTTTCAACGAGCCACGGACCAAAGAGACTCCCCCTTCCCCCCCCCCTTCCCTCTGGTTGTGACAATGAACCATGGGGGAGCAGTCCGAATGGAGCTGGATCAGTGACCCCCAACGGAACTGAATCCACCACAGAGCCTGCCACAGAGCCTGCCACACAGCCACAAACTCCCGCACCATGCTGTGAGCCAAACGCAAGGACAGCCGCCAATGCCCCTACCTGGACTGGCGAGCACTGGTCACAAAGCCCCAACTGACAGACATGGCATCTGTGAACACATTGAGCAAGGGAAGAAGAAGGAAATGAAAACCCTGAAAACCTGAAGAGCAACCTTGTGATGCAGCAACTGGCACAAGGGCACCAGGAACCCAGCGATTGTGAGAGCTTCGAAAGAGGCTGTCCCAAAGATACCAGAACAGCCTCTGTAGCCAAACCATGCCCAGCAGATAAACCAGAAGAGCAAAGCTCAGGCTCCCGAGCAGCTGCTCGAGCAACCTCCGAGTAACCCCGGTTCCCCACAAATACTGCTGATGGTGAGCAAGGGTGGTGAGCATAACTGGAGCAAGGCCACGGGAGGGAGACAAAGGGACGCAGTCCAAGAATCCCACACAAGACCCCAGCCAAGGATAACAAGAACAGAATCAACTGGGACTTCAGCCAGTACACCAGGTAACCCAGTGAGCTGGGAAAGAGCCAGATTCTTGGCTAGCAGACAAGCAAGCTAGCAGACAAGCAGACAAGCAGACTGGCTGGGAGCCCATACTGACCAGTCATCGATGTAGGTCAAGATTTGAAGACCTAGCAGACAAAGATGGACCACAACGATGCAAATCAAATGCATAAAACCCAACGTGCCAGATTCAACTCAAAAAGGAAACAATGAAAGCAGTTAGCCTGTCACACCACCACAAAACCTAACCAATCCCTGAACCCTGGAAGGATAGGGACATGCAAATATGTGTTTCTACAATATATCTCATGTGATTTTATTTCTGTGTTCAGATTTGGAACCAGTCCCTCTAATATCGTCCACATGTAGAGTATTATGTATCTCTCTCGCCTATACTCTAGAGAATACATATTTAGAACTTTTAATAGGTCACAATAATTAAGATAACTTATAGAGTGGATTCTAGCGGTAAAGGATCTTTGTATGCTCTGCAGGTCAGCAATTTCTCTGGTTCTGAATGGGGCTGTTAAGAGTTCAACAATATTCCACTTTAGAGAGCACTAGCAAAAGTGCTAGTGCACTTTTTCTAGTGCATCTTAAAAAGTATCATCATTGGTATGGCATCCCTATCCCTTGCTTGGAAGGTCGTTGCTATCCAACCTGTCATTTTTCATGCAGTCGTAACAGCTTGTTTATGTTCTAACATGATTATTCCTAGATCCTTTACATTGCTCTTTTGTTCTGCTGTATAGTGTGATTTGATTCTGTTTTATATATGGTTTCCATTTTTAAATTTGAATTTTTTACACAGCACAAAAGCTGGAACTTATTTTCATTAACCCTTAAGTTGTGCAACACATCATATGATGGTTTGAGTGACTTGCTATAAATTGCCCATCTCATCATATGATGTATTGGAGTACTACACAAGATTTAAATGGCCCGCGGATACACGGGGTTCACCTCACCTTCATCAGGGCTCTTGTAAACAGACGCCATTTTTTTAAAACTCACTATACCAACTTAGTTGTTTGCTATGTTAAACAAAACATGCAGATGCTTATATATAATGTCTGTATATAAAAGCAAAAACAGTATTGTGGGAGGAGAATGGTGGTGAGTCAGGTGAGTTGAGGGAGGGAGGGAGTGGCAGCCAGTGGTGGGCTGCCACTGCCACTCAGCATACCAACTTAGTGGTATCAACCACTAACATCAGTGGTATCAACCAGTGGTTCGTTATGGTGAACACGAATGTAGATACTTATATATAATGTTTGTATATAGTAAATAAAAGTAAAAACAGTATGGTGGGAGGAGAATGTGGGCGAGTGAGGTGTTGAGGGAGTGAGTGGCAGCGAGTGGCTGGCTGGTGTGTGGCGGTCACTCC